TTGATCCAAATTGGAAGATGGAAATTGGCAAATCAAGTGGTCAATAATGTACATTAACATAGCCAGGCCGTGTTTGTCTGGAAATGTACACCATTCAGTTGAAATCTCTTAGTGATTTAATTTATGTAACATCCTTTTTTAACATGCGAGCCCGCAAATCTTAGCAACAAAAACCCCACCACCAGGCGTTACAGCTTTCATTTTCTGCGGATATTTAGCCCAGTGGCTAACTTATAACCGTGGCCCACCGGTGGACGAACATGGTGACGCTTCCTAAATTATTAAGTTTTAACACTGTAAACGATTATCAATACAAGTTTTGTGACGTCATTTTGTGCATGGGTACTCCAAAGTCTTAGAAACACAAGCATCGACACCAAGTGTTGCAGCCTCCATAGGCTGCGCAACGTCGGCCTAGTAGCTGATACTAAGCTGTGGCCAACGGTTGCATGAAAATGATGGCGCTCCTGAAAAAGTATTCTGAAATATTGTTAAGTGTAGCAAAAGTACTGAGCGCATATTTCTCGTGTGCAAGTTTTTGGCTGATGAAAAGAACGGATTTGCCCTTAAAGCACCGGGAAGTGGAGGCGGAATCTGGTGATTGAACTGGAAGAGTGAAGGAAGGGTCTCTATTTTTCTTGTTTTTTGCAAGTATTTGTCTATCCAGAAGACAGATTAACACGGCGCCCGCCGTCTGGTGGCAATTGCAGTGGCCGAGATGTTTTGGTTTTTCGGAAGCTGCAACCCAGACCATCCCTGCTCTCGAGGTTGGGGGCGGGTATGCTCAAGCATTTTGATGTAATTTGTTTTGCCAGTACATTCTGAAAAAAGCGTTCTCGGGCAAGCATGGCATGAACTTGCTCGTTTTTATGCTGATTTCTACCCATCCTATTCAACAATAATAAAATCCCACTCTACTCAACAATAATGAGACACCTTATTTCCTTCCGGGTAAGGGCCTCTTGAGAAGAACATAGGGGGTACATAACCGTTTCCGGTCAAGGGTTGAAGGGTCATTCCGTTCCATCGCGAAGTGTCTTCTGGCTATCATTCTGGCGACACGGGGTGGGATCGCCTGGTCGATCCGGAGGCCATTAAAAGGATATAGCATACCACATTGTTCCCATCCCCGACATGGGAGGCCTTCTGACCCTCGCAGTTAGCCCCAGATCAGCACAGGAACCCTCATTGACGCAACAACATCCATGATCGCCGCAGATAGTCCAATGATTGCCGCATAGACTCTAGTTCCGTGTTTTTCTGTGTTCTTCAGAGATATTGAGTTCTCTCTGATGGTATATGGTAGATGAAATGGGGTTCCTAATTTCCATTAACATGGCTAACCCATGTTCGTCTTGATATGCTCAAGATCCTGTCATAACTGATTACTGATAAGAAAACTACGTCATATGGTCTTAAACACGCAAGTGCGCGCTCCCAAGTCATAGCAACGACAGCCCCGACACACGGCGTTGCAGTCTCCATCGCATGCGGCTTCGGCCCTGCGGCTGTAACACTAAGCGATGACCAGTGAACAAACGAAAAAGATGACGCATCTTAAGGGCGATGTCTGGTGAAACAAGTAATTCGGCATGCATGTTATATGTAGTGCAAAAGTAAGCCAAATGCAACCTTAATCTGAAAAGTGGAGGGGGAGGGGGGCAGTTAACATTGCAAGCCCCCCACCTTGAAAAGTGGGGCTCCATGGTCCCCTGGCCCCCTGTTCCTACACCGATGGTCTCAATGGACCAAAAGTAAAATGCAGAGAATAGAGCAGAATACACAATACATGGTGCATGGTTCTGTACGCACAGGATGTACACAAAATTTCTTATAATCTTTTTCCAGTGAAACTGTATGTGAGAAGAATAATGCATGACACTCGGGCTTGTTTAATGAGCACCTGGGGACACATCTACGGAGAGCGTGCGCTCACAATTGGGGGAGGAGGTAGTCGACATACATGCACCAATGGTACACATTATAACATACTTAAACTTTTAGGTGCACATTTCAGCAACGGCATAAGACAATGCGGACCCAGGATATAAGAATCGCTACGTGTCGGTAAACGTTGACAGAGGATAGACTCGCAAGCACCATGCGAAATACTGATTGTTAGCGCTGTTGTTCAGATAACGTATGTTCAGCAATACTAGTCTGCTGATTTATTTTGACACTGATTTCCTGTAGCGAATTGCCTTCTGATCTGTGATACAGTCCAGCGAAACCTTCCTGCCTAGCCATTGATGTCTCGTGCAAGCCTTATCATAGTACCGTGCCTTGCAATAGGATATGGAAGCTTGCATGCTTGATTATTTTGATACTTTCCTTGTCAGGATCTGCACATATTTACAACAGCTACGATCATTCACAGGCCTTTTCAATTGCGCGTTATGTGTTGACTTATTCACAGGTGACCACGTGCACTACCTGGAAATGTTGATTTGTCATAATATTTTGGAAATATTGGCATAGAGTCTTGGCGTAGCCACGGGTCTCCCGGTATACTGACGTACCTGTGTTTTGGCATCGATGTTAAAATTGTGAGAAAAAATCGTGCGTGCGTGCGTGCGTGTGTGTGCGTGTGTGTTTGTGTGTTAAGGTACTGTTTTAAGCATTACCGGGTAGCACACGTGTAAGCATTGCCTTTTTCTTTTAACGAGTGATAAATTTCTGGGTTTGCTCTCATGCGATGAACAGAGGCAGTGTCACCGACTTCCCTTGTAGGGCGAGCATATTTAAAAAACCGAAGTTGTCCTCAGATTTTGGCCATTTTACAGACTGACTTCCTAGATACATGCAACCAAGCACAGCCACCTCTCAGCCCAGCAGGATCTCATGACTTGTTAATCAGTGCGTCCTATTGGACTTGTGTGACTTTAAGTAGCAGAAACGCCGCCATAGCTCCATCAGTTAGTGAGTGCTGCCCAGCCCACATGTGACAGTGTGCACCCCCCCCCCCTCCCCCCTCTGAAAGGAGACCTCATGTTGTTCAATAGGTCCGCTGGAAAAGCCTCTCCTCAACTTACATCTCCCGGCGCCGCCCCTGACAGACCCAATAAATTGACGTGGGGAATCCACATAACTGAAAAGTCTCCACCAATCTGTTGATGCACCAGCTAATTGTTCTAAATGGCATCATGTGCAGTATCTTGACCACAAATGGCTATTCATTGAGCAATATCCTATGATTTGTAATGTAGTGTGCTTTGAAATATGTTACATCCCTGCCCTAATGCCAGTGATACATGATCAGAAACAGGCCATTAACCCGACAGGAAGCCTAAATTATTGGTACCCATACTTTCCCCTCTCTTGCAAGGTTTACTCATTTGGACGCTGTAGGCTAGTTGTGGTGAAGACGTGACAGCGATCACTAAAAATAAAAAGTAGTTGCAACAAGAGGGTCTAGTTTCATAAAGCTATGACCAAACAGCGAACACGCCCCCGGTCAAACAGAGAACAAGTTCCAGGCCGGCTAAGGGCAACGCTGCGACGCTTTCACAGCAGCTCCGCGCGTGTCCAACGCCCCACTCCACGGTACTCGTCTCGTACTCAACGATCACTTGCAAGTCGAGCGCAGCCTCGCCGACCAACAGCATCCGACACCATCTCTGCACCAGCGTGCGAAATTAATCCGTTGCTATGCGACCCCCCCCCCCCACGCCGACCGCATGCTTGTAGTGTTCGCACTGGCGTCGACTGTACGCTCTCGGCCGACGGCGGGCGGAGCAACGCTGCCTACCAATAAGGGCAATTATTCACACCCTGGCGGCCCCCCCCCCCCAAGAACTATTTTGGAAGCTCTGGCCCTTGGGCATTCTGTACCTTGGACAATACGTACGTTGGACATTCTGTACTTTGGACATTCTGTACTTTGGACATTCCGTACCTTGGACACGCTGTACATTGGGCATTACGAAACGGGCTCCTTTCACCCTGCGCCATTTTGGAAGTTATTTCTCATCTTGAACATTGTGTACCTTGGACATTATAAACTTTGGACATTCTGTACCTTGGACATTCTGCACTTTGGACGTTCTGTACCTTTGGACATTCTGTACTTTGGACAATATGAAGGCCTCCCCCAATGTCGCCGGTGTGGGTGCCGTGCCCAGCAGCGCAGGGGAAGGCGGCGCGTTTTTGCCGGCCATCCACCGCAACGGCGGCGTGGCAGCTCCTGCCGCTTCGCAGAACGCGGGCCGCCCTCGACTCGCGGCCCACGGCAGGGGCGATGGCCGCTCTAGCATCCTTGGCTAACGGTACATGATGAGGTCCGGTAGCTGACGCGGGTGGAACGGTCCCCGCCCGGAAAAACGGGCGGGGACGGTTCCGGAAAAACGGTCGACAGGTCGCCGGTTCGAAGGGTGTCGAGCGAGCCTTTTTGTCCGGCGCTCGCGCTCGTCAAATGGGTGGCGTCATGTGCCCGCCTTCTCTCGTCCCTGCAAAAATGGCGCCGGCGCGGTGCCGGCGGCTGCGCGGCCCGCTTTACGACCGGAGTCGGCTGAGGCCGGGCCGACGGAGCGCGACGGCAGAGAGCGCGGGGCGACTAGGGTGAGCACGTGCGGTCTGCTGCCGCGCGACGTGGTCAGCGGCGGAGGCGCGGGGTGCGAGGCGGCAGGCTGGTACCGACCTGCAGGCACGGTCTGCAGGCGCTGGTACTGAGCAGGTGACCGGTGGTGCTGCGCTGGCCACGCCGTCCAGAACTCGGTGGTGCTGGGCGCGGAGCACCGCAGAACAGTGAAAACCGCTGGCTTCGGTCACTGCTGACGTTCGACAGGACCGTTTCAGCCGGAAGGACGCCTCCGAGAACACGTGTGTCGAGACGGCCCTGGTTGTCAAGCAGCGGCTAACCCCAGCGGCTGCCATCGTGCACTTTGGAGCCTGCTGGATCCCGTTAAGCCAGTGACCGGCCCCTCAGTAGGCACCGGCGCCCGCTGCGCTGTGCACCCGCGTCCACGCAGCCGCCGTCTGCCTCTGAGTCGCAGCTGTCCGCCATGACTCCCCGCCTGCTGGCCGTCCTGGCCCTCGTTCAGGTGGTGCTCCCGGAGCCGGCGTGGCTGGCGACAGGACCACTGACTCTGGCGCAACTTGCAGCGGGTCAGCTGTCGAGCACTGATCTGACTGAGAGTCAGCTGACGGAGAGTCAGCTGATGGAGAGTCAGCTGGCGAGCAGCCTGGAGTCGGAGAGCCAGGCGTCAGTGAATCAGCTGACTCTGCAGCAGCTTGCAGAGGGTCAGCTGTCGAGCGCTGATCTGACAGAGAATCAGCTGACGGAGAGCCACCTAACGGAGAGTCAGCTGACGGAGAGCCAGCTGACGGAGAACCAGCTGACGGAGAGTCAGCTGATGGGCAGCCTTGAGTCGGAGACCCAGGCGTCAGCGGGTCAACTGACGGGAGACGGGCGGCCGGGGGACGGGGCGGCGCCGGCCGCCGAGCCGTTCCGAGTATTCTGGAACGTGCCGTCAGCCCCGTGTACCCAGTCTTTCGGCGTCGACCTCAATCCCGGACAGTACGGCTTCACGGTGAACGCCGGCGAGAAGTTCGCTGGGGAGCAGATCGTTCTGCTCTACTCTCCAGGTGATGTACGACAGACAGCGGGCCGAGCATGCACAGCGCGCTGTTCTCACCCGGCGAATCACGCGTTTGCTGTGCTTGAAGCGGACCGTCGGATGGACATGCGGATTTCCTGTCGGTTGACTGGATGCAAAGAACAAATCGACGACTTGCACTAGGATTGCAAAGCTATTCAGCATGACGTATGGGCTTTGCAGATGATGTCGAATCTCCCGGAGTTCATATTGTCACACGCACTATGTCATTTTTCCACTTCCCCCTGAAATCGTCACTCGGCTGACGATTTTCTCCGTTCCCCGCGATCCTGACGCGCGCCGTTTTTCCTCCGGCAGGTTTGTTTCCGAATATTCTGAAGAACGGCTCGGAAGTGAATGGCGGCCTGCCGCAGGTGGGGTCGCTGGACGTCCACCTGAAGCGGTTCCAGGAGGACCTGGAACGATCCGTGCCCGACGTCAACTTCAGCGGTGAGTTGTGGTCTTCTTGCCTCGTGGCTCTCTCTCTCTCTCTCTCTCTCTCTTCCTCTCTCTCTCTCCTCTCTCTCTCCCTCCTCTCGTCATCTCTCTCTCTCTCTCTCTCTCCTCTCTCTCTCTCTCTCTCGCTCTCTCTCTCTCCTCTCTCTCCTCCTCGCTCCTCTCTCTCTCTCTCCTATCTCCCCTCTCTCTCTCATCTCTTCATCTCTCTCTCTCCTCTCTCTACTCTCATCTCCATCTCTCCTCCTCCTCTCTCTCGCACTTGCGGTCTCTCGCCGCGTTCGTTTTGGGCCCGTTCGGTTTGCATGCAAGGTGATCTGACATGCTTTAACGTGCGGGAGACATCAAACAAGATTTTTTTGCGAAAAGCACAATTTGGATGACTTAGTACATCGTGCTAATCAGCCTGTATCCCGAACACTGAAGAGACTTACTGCGGCAGATTGATGAGGGTACAATTTACAACGTATTCATATTCCAATACTTATTCCCACACACCAACATTGGGGTCAAGCACAGCTCTGTCCTTATTGCATGGATTCAAAATCTGAAAATACGCACGTGCTCAACATGACGTCGAGTGTACGAACAATTAGCAGCATGGCCTTCAAATGTCATGGTGTAGCCTCCAGGCAATAATAGGTTAAAAACGCAGTACTCCGTCAGTAATGCATTGGATCCAAATATGACAACGCTTACGGGGTGGCAGTGACGTCACGTTTATACAGCTTTCGTAATCTGACCTTTAGAGGTCACCGTATAGCGTCCAGGCAGTCAGAGAGAAAACGCCGTCACGCATTACTTCACTGGAGGTTAGGCCAACTGAGGGCAAACACCTGATGACGTGGCGAGTACGTTGTCTGATGTCACTGAGCACCGTTGTCAGATCTGGATCCGATATTTTACGGACGGAGAACTGTGGGACCATTTTTCACCTACGGTTGCCTGGAGGCCATACGACGACCTATAGAGGTCAGGCTGCTGGAGTTGTGTGTACTTGATGGCGTGGCGAGCACGTAGCCATTTTCCCGTTTGAAATCCATGCATTAATGGGTGAGATGTGCGTGATCGTGTTTTCGGCGTATATCAATATAGACCCGAATTTGGATACGTGGCAAAGTATACCTACATGTCAGATTATGTGAGATAGAACCACTTGTTTGATACGTAACACTCACCAACGTAGCTTCCGCCTCGTGTGATTTCAACATACTACCGTGACATGATCCAGGAGCATGGTGGCGTCTGGTGTGGACCCTCCTGCAAATCAACGTTTACGTGGGAAAGGGGCGTGTGGTATCTGAGCCCAATGCAAAAACACAACATACCACAGGCCTGTATTTACGCTCAGAAAACAATGTCGAGCCACTCCAATGCACTGAATGTTCCATCCCCAAAGCTGACGCCTCGAGAGCTGACGCTGAGCCCAGCATGACGGGCGTGGGAGTGATCCCCTCCCCCCACCAGGCGTGGGGGTGATCGACTTCGAGGGCTGGACGCCCTGGTTCGCCGCGCTGGCGAGTCCACTCAAGCAGGCGGCGCTACAGCTGGTGCGGCGGCAGCACCCGCAATGGACGGACACCCGCGTCGCCGAACAGGTCAGACGCACGCGGACGGGGGGGGGGGGGGGCGGGTCACTGGGCAGGCCAGCCACGCTAGCACAGACGTGCGGGTGATTCAACGGGTCACGCGGATGAGCCGGCCGGTGAAGCGCCCCCCCCCCCCGCCCTCGGTACCAACACCCACGAACACTCGGTCAAGCCCGGGAGCGCTCGGACCTGTGGTCTGTCTCCCAGACTGAGGAATGATTTGAGCAGCAGCTTGGTTTTGAGGTCTTAAAAGACTTCGAGAAGTGTTCTCCGGACTCCAGGTGAGCTTCGGTTGTGACCCCTTTCTCCCGCAGCTTAGGAGGACCGTGGCGAGGACGCTGAGGTGAGAGGCTCCGGAAAACTGCTGGTGATCTGTTGGTGTTGGTGTTGGTCTCTCCACTTACTCGGGAGGACTTCGCTCCCCGGCCGCTGACCTCAGACCCGGGAGAGATTTGATCCATAGTCCGTGTTATCAGACCTGCGAGGACTTTCATTCGTGATCCGTCTTATCAGACTCGGGAGGACTTGGATCCGTGGCCCGCGTTATCAGATTCGGGATGACTTTGACCGGTGACCGGTGCCGGCAGGCTCGGGAGGACTTTGACCCGTGACCGGTGCCAGCAGGCTCGGGAGGACTTTGACCGGTGACCGGTGCCGGCAGGCTCAGGAGGACTTTGACCCGTAACCGTGCCGGCAGGCTTGGGAGGACTTTGACCCGTGAACGGTGCCGGCAGGCTCGGGAGGACTTTGACCGGTGACCGGTGCCGGCAGGCTCAGGAGGACTTTGACCTGTAACCGTGCCGGCAGGCTTGGGAGGACTTTAACGCGTGACCGGTGCCGGCGGGCTCGGGAGGACTTTGACCGGTGACCGGTTCCGGCAGGCTCGGGAGGACTTTGAGTGGTGGGCTCGCCTGTTCCTTCAGCAGACGCTGGAGGCGGCCGAGCGTGCCCGGCCGGCCGCCGCCTGGGGCTACTACCAGTATCCGCTCTGCGGGAACCTGCACATCCCCAACGGCACCTGTCCGCAGTCATGGCGCGACAAAAACGACCGGTCAGTGCTGCCATTTCGCAGCCGAGCCGGGCAGTAGTAGTGATGCTGGTCACCGCTCGGCGACAACCCATCCCCTTGTGGTCTGTCTGCTGATGGTTGTCGCGACTGCTGCATGCTCCTGTCCCTGTGCCGGCCCGTTGTACCCGCCCGGTACAATCGTGTACTCTACGTGCCGTCATCGCTGCTGGGTACCAGCTGCGTCTTGTACAATCCTGCCCACGTTTGTGTCAGTACCCATTCGTGTATGCACGTTCTCATGGCAACCGCGGGCCCTCCCCCAGCCTTTGCATCGGAAGTGGATTATTCCATTGCTCCTGCCGTCCGCTGCAGGCTGTCGTGGCTCCTGAGCTCCAGCAGCGCCCTGTACCCGTCCGTGTACCTGTTCCGGAACGGGTTTACGGCCGCTGACCGGCGCGCCACGGTGAGGGGCCGCCTGGACGAGGCCCTGCGGCTAGCAGCCGAGGTCCCCGTCTACACGTACACCTGGTTCCAGTACCACGACGATCCCAGTTATCTGTCTGAGGTAAGCCGGCGCCGGTTTGGTTTGTAGGCGGGAGGTGCAATTGGGGCTGCGTTGTTAGGCAGATGAGAAGATTTTACTCAAAACGTCTCGCTGGCCAGCACGTACGCGTAAGTGAAAGATCGCTGGGATGCCGCGACAATGCTTGTGAGCACACTCTCTGTTATACCCGCTGAGCTTGGGTGAAAATGCTGCGGCGTTCAGTGGCGCAGTTTAGATGATGGCGTTGGTGGTAGCGCCAGGAAGGCTGGTACTGGACTTGTCGCACCCTCCCCGCTAGCCTGAGAGTGCCCCTGCCCCACCCTACCCGCCAGCCTGAGAGCGCCCCTGCTCCACTCTCGCCGCCGGTCTGAGAGCGCCCCTGCCCCACCCTCCCCGCCAGTCTGAGAGCGCCCCTGCCCCACCCTCCCCGCCAGCCTGAGAGCGCCCCTGCCCCACCCTCACGGCCAGTCTGAGTGTGCCCCTGCCCCACCCTCACAGCCAGCCTGAGAGCGCTCCTGCCCACCCTACCCGCAAGTCTGAGAGCGCCCCTGCCCCACCCTCACAGCCAGCCTGTGTGCCCCTACCCCACCCTCACCGCCTACCTGAATGCGCCCCTGGCACGGTCGCAGGACGACCTGCTGTCCATGCTGGGCCAGGTGCGCACCCGTGGTCTGCCCGGCGCCGTCATGTGGGGCTCCTACCTCAACTGCGACTCGGTCGCCCAGTGTCACCGGCTGGACGCCTACCTGCGCGAGCGCCTGGGTCCGCTCGTGCGCCGCCTGGTGGCGCTAACACCGGCCGAGGTGCACACGTGGCGCCGCCTGCTGGCCACCCAACGCGGCCGACGCCTGCTGCGGCAGGCGCTCAAGTGGGAGGGTCCGGAGAGCGGCGACGGGCTCGGGGTAGTGTGGTGAGCAGTGTCGGACCGTGAGGCGGAGAGAGGGCGGGAGGAGGCTATACGCTCGAGAGGGGCTGGTGAGGGTGGGAGGAGTCCTCTCTCGACAGAGCTCGGGGATAGCGATGAACAATTATCATAGATACTGCGTTGTGACGAGCAGGGCACAAAATACGCGTGCTATATCTTACGGCGACCGAACAGACTATCGAAATTTAGGCAGATCGTGGACGATATTGGTTGACTGTGCTTCAGAAGTTCAGCACCACTAGTATTAGAAGGCGTGCATCTTCAGTCCTTCAGTTCAGTCGCCAGTTCAGGACGGCAGAGGACAGGCCGCCCTTGGGCCAGCTGCGCCAGGAACGAGCCGAGCCCCTGACGGGCAGGGGGCGCCAGCTGTCAGGGACCGAGGACTGTGGGGCGGCGGGAGAACAGGCATGACGCTGCGCCCCGACCCAGGAGCGGCCCGGGGACGAGCGAACTCCGCGCCCCAAGCGGCGACAGCCACCTGGAAGCTGTCTGCTCGGGCCTTTCCTGCTCGCTTCGGTACTTGACCGCACGATATTCGACCGCTGCGCCAATCCGGCCTACTGCACCGCTTACAGTTATCCGTTTGTTTATGACTGACGTGCAGAGGCGCCCGGTCGACCTGCAACCGTGGCGCCCCGGCTACAGGATAGTTTAGAGATTGCATCAGTTATATGTGCGGACTGCTGCCGTCGATGTAACCGCTCCACGCTTGAATCGATTCAATAACCTGAACTGATACTACTCCATAATCCATGTGTGTCGAGCTGCGTGAGGAGTTCTAACACGGAGAACGTGGCAGGTGGCACCGAGCAATAGGCCACTCACGCGCTTGAATGGGCGCTCACTAACTGCAGGAGCCGTATGGCATGGACGCCTGTCCCAAAATCAGACCTTGGGAACAACGAACTTCATGGACGCTTTCATATCCGAGAATGTATCGACATGCTAACGTGCGTTCCAAACATGTTTTCACAATGCTGACCGAAAGTTCTGCAGGAATGGATGTGATAGGCGTCTTCGCCAAAACATCAGCTCCGACGACCCTGACGCAACCAAAAAAGCACAGAATTTCCCGTGGAATGCATAATTCGTACTGAAACATTTCAACGCGCCATACAATGCCGTGCTACGGCAAGCCCATTCCAGCCCGGCTCCTCTCTTGGCCAGGTTCCAATTGGCCGGAAGTTACGCGAGCCAATGGGCGATTTCGAGTTGCTATCTCCCACGCCTGCCACGGATCGGTCTACGTTCGACTCTAAACCAACTGATCTGTAGAGGCAGAGCAGCACGTGCCGTCTCACCAGGAAGAGTCTACAGAATGATCTCTGCACTGGTTTTATTTTTAAACGCGTCACTCATAAAGCCATATGCAAGTTTGAGATCGTCAAACGGTCACATCTACGCATGATTTGAAAGACGCATGCCACCCTTACGACTAGACAAAGACTAGATTTAATCGATGAAGATGATATGATTGATCTGGACGGCTAAATCACACGATTCGCACGCAGAGAAACAAGGTCCGTTTGTACACAACTTTGGACGGATGCAGCCAATAGCACGACACTACCGGCCGTTCCATTGTGGGAGCATTGAGACTAAACACGGAACGCAGAGCACAGAGCACAGGGCTCTGACGCAGCGACCCTGGGCGTTGAAACAGACACAACGGACTGCCCCCCCCCCCCCCCCCCCCCCAATATGTCTTCTCATCGTCCCCGCGGCTGGCAACGTCCCACGTCGATGAACCAAGCGAAGAAGGGCGAGCAATGGCGGACGTTCTCGAGTCGCGCCCACTCAGAAATCAGCTTCGCCGCTACACCCGCAGGACGACCGCGGCCGGTGACACCACGAGACTGGCACGTGCCTCTGACGGCGCCCAAAGATGAGCCAGCATGTCTGCGGGAAACTCTGATCGCGGCTACACATCACCACGCAAGACTAAGCTGAAACCGATCCGAACCACGCGAGCGCCCGTCGTCCACCGCGGCCCGCCCGTCACCGGCGAAGCCACAAGTGATGTCACAAGCCGGTCACTCCAAGGCACCGTCGCCGGGCGCCGCGGCCGCCGGCCACTGCAGACGCCCCTGCGCCCTGTGACGTCACCGACCGCGTCCGGGGTGTCACTGGACCAGGGAGGCGTGCCCGACGCCGGCCGCCGCCGCCGCGCCGCGCGCCTCGGCGCCGTCCGTCTCCGGCTGACGCCCGCTGACATAGCCCAGCCGCCGCAGGTCCTTGGTGAGCACCTGCAGCCGGCAGGTGACCACGCCCTGCGACCGGACCCGCATCACTGCCGCAGGGGACGCCCGGTCAGCGGGGGCACCAGCGCGTCACGGGCGGGGGTCACGGCGGGAGGAGGGGAGGGAGCGGCGCCATGTGCTGGGACGCCGACACTGCCACTAGTGCAGACCCCGGCAGTAAGCGAGTCGGACGGGGGCGAGCGCGTTGAGAATGCAGATTTCACGTGCTTGACGCTTGTTTGGTTCGCACTGGATAATGGTGGGTCAAGAGTCACAACCTTGCCGTGTCTCGAGAAATGGCTTTGGTTTCTGTAAGTCTATCCAATGGCTGAGAGCTGCGTGCAGCGACCATGAAACTCATCACGTAAGACGTGGAAGCCTAAAGCCAGTCGCCACATACTTACCCACCAAGCAAGGGAGAATCGACGAACACAGGGTCGATGATAATGCTGTGATGCGTCGTAATCGCGTTACTAGCAAACGTGTCAGTCGCAACACAATTCCGCGTCTTGTTTGCCTCACTTTAATTACATAGGGGTGATTTCGAAATTTCAAATTCAAACAAGCAAGCGGAACAATCTAAGGCTAACACCGATCAAAATGCGATGCTTTGGGCCTCGCTCGCACAGCCAGTGCCGTAGCTGAAAGGAGCCTAATGGGGTCATGCCCCCCCCCCCTCCCCCTCCCTCTGGAGATGGCGTGTCCACCTGATGCCGAAGGTCGCTGTATTTTTGCGGCTTAAGGCGCCCGTATTGCTCCTAAAAAACTCACTGAAGATGGGAGTCCCAGCCAAAAGGTCCTCAGAATTCGAAAGCAGGGCTCTTTTGCGACAGATAAAACGCACGTATACGCACTTCACCTCACCCTTCTTGCCCCCGCCGAGAGCCAGCGTGACCGGGTCACCTCCCCTTCCCTGTCCCCGCCGAGAGCCAGCGTGACCGGATCATCTCACCCTCCCTGTCCCCGCCGAGAGCCAGTGTGACCGGGTCACTTCACCCTCCCTGTCCCCGCCGAGCGCCAGCGTGACCGGGTCACTTCACCCTCCCTGCCCTCGCCGAGCGCCAGCGTGATCGGGTCACCTCACCCTCCCTGTCCTCGCCGAGCGCAAGCGTGACCGGGTCACCTCACCCTCCCTGCCCTCGCCGAGCGCCAGCATAACCGGGTCACCTCACCCTCCCTGCCCTCGCCGAGCGCCAGCGTGACCGGGTCACCTCACCCTCCCTGCCCTCGCCTAGCGCCAGCGTGACCGGGTCACCTCACCCTCCCTGTCCCCGCCGAGCGCCAGCGTGACCGGGTCACTGCACCCTCCTTGTCCTCGCCGAGCGCCAGCGTGATCGGGTCACCTCACCCTCCCTGTCCTCGCCCTGCGCCACCGTGACCGGGTCACCTCACTCTCCCTGTCCTCGCCGAGCGCCAGCGTGACCGGGTCACCTCACCCTCCCTGCCCTCGCCGAGCGCCAGCGTGACCGGGTCGGCCAGCTCCGGTCGGCGGCCAGTGAACCAGGAAGCCAGCTTCTGCAGCTGTGAGGTCGACTCCGGTACGAACACGGCCATCCTGGGTAAACACGCAGTCAGTGGATCACTGGACACGGCCCCCCGAGAACACCATGAACATAAAACACGGCCATCCTGGGTAAACACGCAGTCAGTGGATCACTGGACACGGACCCCCGAGAACACCATGAACATAAAACACGGCCATCCTGGGTAAACACGCAGTCAGTGGATCACTGGACACGGCCCCCCAAGAACACCCTGAACATAAAACACGGCCATCCTGGGTAAACACGCAGTCAGTGGGTCACTGGACATGGCCCCCCGAGAACACTCTGAACATAAAACACGGCCATCCTGGGTAAACACGCAGTCAGTGGGCCACTGAACACGGCCCCCCGAGAACACCATGAACATAAAACACGGCCATCCTGGGTAAGCACGCAGTCAGTGGGTCACTGGACACGGCCCCCCGAGAACACCCTGAAAATAAAACACGGCCATCCTGGGTAAACACACAGTCAGTGGATCACTGGACACGGCCCCCCGAGAACACCCTGAAAATAAAACACGGCCATCCTGGGTAAACACGCAGTCAGTGGGTCACTGGACATGGCCCCCGAGAACACCCTGAACATAAAACACGGTCATCCTGGGTAAACACGCAGTCAGTGGATCACTGGACACGGCCCCCCAAGAACACCCTGAACATAAAACACGGCCATCCTGGGTAAACACACAGTCAGTGGGTCACTGGACACGGCCCCCCAAGAACACCCTGAACATAAAACACGGCCATCCTGGGTAAACACGCAGTCAGTGGGTAACTGGACACGGCCCCCCGAGGACACCCTGAACACAGAATACCGCTCCTCCGCGTGTGCACAACGACTGGGTAATGCAGCACGACCACCCAAAGGCGCACAAGAACACCATTTGACTCTACCTGCTCCCATGGGCACACATAGTAGTCGCGTAGCCTAGTTGTTGCGTGTTCACCCAGTGCACACGAGCGCTGTGTAACCTAACACCTGCCGCAGCGATGGCCGGGGCTGTGGCCGCCGCTGGCTGCACGGCTGCCCCAGAAACACACCAGCACCGTCCACACGGCCACCTTCGGCACACACAGACACTACATGGCTCCCGGCCGGAACGTCATGAGCGGAGCACGCCGGATCTACGAGGTTACGGTCGACGCCCAGTGTCGGCGCTTAACAGGCTTAGCAGGCAAAGCGTCATGGAATACCAATCATCAACGACTGACAGCTAACCAGGTAGTTCCCAACGAAAGAGAGACAAGTCGCGACTACTCAGAAATTCCCCGCTATGTTAAATTTATGTAAACAACACAACTAATGAAATCACCACCTCGAAATGGAAGACTGCCCGCTCCGAGTGCAAATTCCAAATCGTACATAAACGACACCTCAGAATGGTTGTGCGCGCGCGCATCGCGTGAGCAGGTGGAGACCCCCGGCGAGCGGTGAGTAGGACGGCGCGGGCGCGGCCGGCGGCGGCCCTCACCTGACCCGGTGGCTGCCAGAGCAGACCGGCACATGACACACGCCGTAGCCACGAATGACGTCATTGCCGAACAGGTCCGGCCCGTAACCGCTGACGATCAGCTGCGGCCCTGCAAAACGAATTTGCAACATGCATTTGCTACGGTTTATCATATGTTGCAGTTTCTTTCACGAAATGTATTGCGGTAAAATATTTATCACGCGCACCTCATTTTGCAAACATCACACGAACGTGGTGTGTTAGATTAACTTTACAACTATGCAGGACACAAGGGACGAGCGTTTGCGTCGTTAACTCGGTGACGGCACCGTACACACGCGCCATGTGCTTCTGAAGATGCAGGTATCATCCGAATAAAACATTTTCGCGAGACCAAGTGAGTTGTTTAGTGCATTCACGACGAAACATTATGCATGTTAATAACGCAGTATTAATAGGCTCATTCTTTGTAGAAAAGCCATGGAGATAGAGAAAAATATGGATTAATATTTCGGCCACATACCTTTATCAAAACGAGTCAGGCATGCAGCCAAAATAGCAATACCTCTATCTCTCCAATATCGTCGCATTTGTACCAGGTATAACGCCGATAAAACTGTCAAATCTATTTTTGCCAGACCCGGAGCGGCCAAATGCGGCATACGCCACAGCCTGATAATTCAACTTCGAGCGCCCCGTGGACCAGCGCCTGTAAGATCTCCGCCCCCCACACGCAAACCTTTGTCACAGCATGACCAGTCCCCAAAACATGCGACGCCCTTGCCGTCCCTGACGCGCACGCATCCCCGGCGCTGACGCGGCCCGCTCCGGCGCGCGTGCGCGAGGACGGGCGGCGGGTGTGCGCGAGGACGGGCGGGCGGCGGGCATGCGCGAGGACGGGCGTGGCCGGGCGTGCGTGCGCGAGGACGACGAGGACGGCAAGGACGGCGAGGACGGCGAGCGAGCGGGCGAGCGGGCGAGCGAGCGAGCGAGCGAGCGGGCGGGCGGGCGGGACGGCGAACGGACGGCGAGCGGGCGGATGAGCGGGCGAACGAGCGAGCAGGAGGGCGGGCGGGCTGCAGGCGCCTAACTCACAGCCGTGCGGGTTGGTGGACTTGAACGACACTTCGACGGGCAGGTTCCAGACCAGCAGCTGGCGCTCGTTCTGGCTGCGCTTGCTGATCTGCGAGATACCCGTCCAGACCCTGGCGGCGGAGCGGCTGTCGTCAGCGGGGGTGGGGGGGGGGGGCGACTCGTGCGCGGTGACGACGGGACACCGCGCTGATCTCGTACTATGTTCCGCTCACTTCAGAGCGCATTTCGGCATGTTAAACTTTCGTCACGCAGATTGTGTCATTCGACTAGAATTTCATGATCGGTGGTGGGATCAGGGATCATACGAGTCATGATAGGCGTGGGCTGTAATCTCAGAGATTTTCTCAAACAAGGCATTGGGAGTCCATTCATATGAAGCTCATGCAGTGGTCAACATTACAACACCATCTCAAGGTGAATGAAAAGTGATTTACAACTGGGTAAAATAGATACCGATGCTTTGTAATGCTTAAAATGTGCATCAGCATAAATCCATGGTAAAACATCCAAACCAGAGTTCACTACTGGCTGAGGCATAGAACACAACCAACATCTTCACGTACCGCCACCATCTCCCAGTCGGGGCCATGGTTGAAGGAGTAGCGGCAGTAGACATCATCAAAGTCAGCCAGGCTCTCTGACTCAATCTGGCCCGTCACAGACACCATGAAGCCTGGCTCACTGGCTGCCATTGCCTTTGGACCGGCAGACAATTCAGAGCATGCTGACCAGCACCACCACTAGGCTGGCTGGTGGTAGCATCGCCATCAAAACTGACACTTTAAAACAATGTGAAGTAAAATAAATGGCACAAAAATGGTTAGCTACTAAATGGTATATCTAGAGGTAAAGCAAAATCACAATGATTTTGGTTTACAGCATGCCAGTACTCTTGCTTCTTAATGGCCATGCTCACTAGCTCTAAAAATCCTTCAACAGCACATCCACATTCGATCTCTCAGCCCACATTCAAACATTATGTTCAGAACATGTATAAGCCATTAGTCCCATGCCAGAATGCCCCATATGTACTGCAGTACCACACATCCTATATACGTATACATACACAGTTTGCGTGACATTAACAGATGCAGCACAAATAACTAATATATGCCCTGAACATCAAATTTGAAGGTGGGCAAAAAGAAAATGTGAATATAAGACATCTACATGACATTAACAGGTGCAGGACTAATGACGAATATATGTCCTAAACATTAAGCTTGAGGGTGGGCTGACTGCAAAATACGATTTTTAATATATGTTTTATAATCTTGAATTAGCACACATGGCACCTCATGGCACCCCACAGGCAAAGCATAATTCTTTTCAGTCAAGCCGAGGCGCCCGAAAACACCAATGAACAAGTCAATCAATCATTCATTCATTCAATCATTTCCCAAATCATGTGTTTGACTGTCGCCTTCGCGTCGCACTTTGCCGAAGTCCTTTTGACTCGCCGCGTGGCGCCGCTGGCCCTGCACGACCGCTCTGCTCGGGAGTTGTTTGTCTCGTTCCGGATATCTGACGGCGACAGCGCTGGCGTTATGCTGCAGACGGAGCTGAGCTGTTATGCGGGTGGGCGGCCGGCGGCGGCGTGTTTTTTTCGGGCGCCCAGCCAGGGGTGCCGCCCCGGTCTGAGGTGTGGCGTCAGGGCCTTGTCAGACCCGGCCGTTCAGGCACTGACGCGGTGATCGCAACCACAGCGGTCCGTCGTCAAGGCCCCGCCTCCCTAGATGGGTGGATGGGATGGGGTTAGGAGGGAGGTGGGTGGAGGGGGTGGGGGTAGGGAGGTGGGGGAAGGGGGAGGGTGGAGGCACTTGGTCGGTCGCGATCACTGCCGCAGCTCACAGTTCTTGGTGTAACTAAACTTTTGTCACTGAAACCCGAGTTCAGTGCACCGCAGGCACGTGCAATTTCTTATATTTCGTAAAACATTGTCGCCTTTTTCGATGTCTTATGTTTATGTGTATCGTAAACATGGATTTATTTTGGGAAACACGCCATTCTCATTGGTTCGACATACACCAAACATTATTTCTGGCAACGCCAGTTATCCCGTCGAGGTACCGTTCATCCACGTGCGTTTGTACGGTGCCATTAATATTACATTATATGCACTTCCGTACGTCTTATTTGATAAGACCGCTTCATCGCGCCGTGTCCATGCTGTAGACGGCGTTGGTAGGAATCTACGTTTCTTGAAACACGGCACCGTAAATCCTTTTCATGTCCTCCAGTTATGAGTGTGAAATGTGCAGATCGTCTTGTAAAACCGATAGCTCAAGTGTGCTGAAACTCTGCTCGCGTGTCATTCGACTTATCTTGATATTGCGCTTTCATCGGGAAGAGACTTCAAATCATACCAAACTGCAGTATGTTTCACTTGTAATCTCAATGGTAGAACACCGCAACTTGATTGTTAATTTCGTGTTGGGTCTACATTTGGCGACGTCGACGTTCTTGACCTCTGTGCTCAGGGTGTGCGTACTTACTTTTCAACACTGGGGAAGAATGACTTAGAGTTGGATTTTGGACGATTTTGGGGTGGTGGAAACGAATGGTGGTTTGGTTTGTCAGTGTGGTCTTGAATGAATGCAAATGGATCTTTCCCTCACTTTTAGCGTTTCCCGTAAAGGTGGTTTCCCTAAGACGGGTAAAAACGGCATGTATGAACAAACTATTTTAAAACTTTTTTTTGTTCGTTTTCAGTGTGGCCAAGGTTGCATTAAGTCGATCGAAGCAGATCTCTCTCAGTTTATCTTGTCCAAGTTGCTAGTACGATGTCGATGGACCGATGCTATGGCTGGGTGTATACGTTAGTATGCACCATTCATTGGTCATGCATTTCATTCATTCAACAGTCTCTTTGGTGTTGAACCCAATGCCTCGCCTACTGGGGCCCCCCGCTGATTCTTGTGCGTCACAAATAAGTAGTGATTTGAACAGCGTTTTTGACGTTGAGCCCAGCACCTATGCTCATTGAGATCCTCCCGGTGATAATTGGGGGTTGGGCATGTGCCTCCGCCGCCTGCGTTCAAGCATTATGGGCCGGTGCGTCGGCAGGGCCTGCACATGGCGCGAGACGTGCGCGCTGTCAAGTACCTCGAGTGCTCGGCTCTCACTCAGAAGGGCCTGAAGAACGTCTTTGACGAGGCGATTCGGGCTGTCCTGTTCCCCGTGCCGCGCAAACCCGAACGGCACGCCTGCCGTCTGCTATAGATGGCGTGGCGGGCGTGGCAAAGGCGGCATAGGTAGCGCTACTGGTACTGGACGCATGCCTGGCGTTTTCTCGTGTTGGTCTTGATTAGTTGTGGTGACGAAGTGGAGCTCGATCGCATATCACGCATGGTTTCTTATGGCAAGATTGTGGTATTTTATCACTGACTGGCGTGTAACCCAGCTTGTTCGGTGTCAAACTGGAGTCCCAGAGTGTCGCACCCTTTTTACCAAGTGTCTTTTCGACTGCGCGTCAGGAAACTCGGATCTGAAACCATGAAACCCTCGGTCTTCTTTGCACATTGATAGCCCTAGACGGGATGCACGCGTGTGGCATGCGTCCCACTGCCTTGGTGTGGGCCCGCGTGGGGGCTTGTGTTTTGTGTGTCGTCCGTTTACTACCCAGATCCAGCTATCCAGATCCAGCTACCCAGATCCAGATCCCTTCGCGACGGTCGGGCCGCGTGACAGCCGACCTAACGTGTGCGGCGGTGGGGCCGAAGGTCACCTACACCGCCGTCGCGCATGGCATGCTGTGAGTTTCTGGAGGAGGTTGTCTCCGTCGAGCCGTGCACTGCACCCTGGTGTCGTGTCGCCGTCAGGGGCCCAGGGGTCAGGGTCAGGGACCCAGCGGCCAGGGTCAGGGGGCCCGACACGGTTCGCGTCGGGACGGCGTGACATCGTCATGACATGACCTGTGGCTGGTTTGGTGTCGCCTCTGGTTATTAAGCCGTGTGTTGTGGCCGTGATCAGTTGCGAAGCCCCGCCGACGGGGCGCGGTCGCGTCCGTGTGCCATGCACCCCGTGACCCGTATCGTTTGCTGTTTCTGGTTTGGACTCTGACAGTCTGCTCCTGTGTGTGTGCCGCCCGTTGATGTGGCCCAAACCAGTAGTTGTCGGAATTCAGTCGTATCTTCTGACTTTTGCAAACGATATCTCTGAGACAGGGGTGCGGTGGAGTGTTGGGCACGTGGTCCCGCTACCGGGGGTCCAGCGCCGAAAAGCTGAAGACGGCGCCGCCGGCGTGTCGTTTGCGCCGGCTCCTCGTGTGCGGTCTTCGCGTCCCGTCGCATATCTCCGTCTCCGGGCGTCGCTCGTGCCGTCCGGTCCGTGTCGGCTGGACCGGGTGCAGAGTTCGCGTGGCCTCTTAAACTGGTCCCACGGCAGACTTGTTGTAGACGGGCACCGGGCGGTCGGAGTGACGGCGCTGCCGTTGTGGCTGCGGCAGCTGTCCGGCAGCTGTGTACGTGTCGCCAGTGGGATGCCGGTCTGACCTTTGTGATCTGACCCGGCCCCTGCGTGATCCTTGCGACCCGGACGCAGCGCCGTCTGAGTATTGTCTGACTTCGCCTGCGGGGTGTTCATGGCTGGTGTGTGACCTGAGCGTTACCTGACCTGTGTGACATGACCTGGACGTTACCTGACCTGCGTGACCTGACCTGGGTGTTGGATGACCTGTGGGACCTGACCTGGGAGTTACCCGGCCCGTGTGATCTGACCTGACCTTACCTGACCCGTGGGACAAGATATATTACTTGACCTGCGTGACCTTACCTGACCCGTGTGACCTGGCCTGACCCGTGTTTGACCCCATCTGCAGGGCCTGGCGATGGTGAAGGAGATCGGCGCCGTGAAGTACCTCGAGTGCTCGGCGCTCACGCAGAAAGGGCTCAAGACTGTGTTCGACGAGGCCATCCGTGCCGTGCTCTGCCCGCAGCCGGCGCCGCCCAAAATCACGCGCTGCACGCTGCTGTGAGCGGCGCCGTCTCTTCCCCCATAGCTAGAGCAACGAAGCCTCAGCGCCGCCGCCCGCTCCCGCGCATGGGGAGCAGCGAAGCCCCAGTGCTGCTGTCTGCTCTGGGCGCCGACGCCGGCCGACCGTACCGTTACACGGCTTGATCGCCGCCTGACCCGCCGGGGCGGGCTGCCACTGCCTCCGCGAGCGGCTTGGCTTCCAGACGAGCGCCTGGATAGCCTGCAGCAGAGGCCCGGCCCGGGCGCCGCCCCCTGCCGTTGTGCGTGGGATGTGGATGACGGTGGGTACCACCACCTCTCGTGCGCGGTGGAAGATGGCGGCGTGCGCCTGCTCGGTGCGGTGTGAGAGAGCGCCGCCTGGCTGCGGCTGGGCATTATCAGCACGTGTGTAGGCCGTGTGATACCGCATGTCGGCACCGGCTCGCGCGCTGGGGGGGGGGGGGGAAGCGCCGGCTGGGAGGCAGACGAGACGCGCTGCCTGCAGCCACGTGAAAGGGAGGGGCATGCGGACGGGCTCTGCGTAGGCGGCAGGGAGGCGCTGCGGGAGGCCGCGAGGACTGGGTCCTCTCGGCGTTCCTGCGAGGATGTGAGGAGCAACGCGAAAAGGCGAGCGGTTGTGGTGAAGGCACCGGGGTCGGCGATGATGTTGCGTACTGCAATGCTCATAATCGCTACCAAAGCACGGACGGTGTGGCTTGAGAAACGCCGTTGACGGCGT